GCAAGTGAATTTCAAATCTATCAATTTTCTTGCAATTTAGCAAATTTATCATTTTGGATTATCAGTAGCGATCTCTTCCAAAGACATTAGTTAAAAATGAGAGCACTTCCAGCATTAAGTTAGTTGAAAATATAATTAATTTTTAGTAACAACAAAAACAAAAACAAAACAAATAAACAAAATGAAATTTCAATTTACTTATAACTCTTCCAAAATAAACAAAATAAAATTTCAATTAATTTATAATTCTTCCAAGGCATAATTTTATTTTAACGAAATTGATGAATTTATTTATGTTTGTTGTAATTTCAAAATTTCCAATTCTTCCTTCTATTATTTATCAAAAGGAAATCTTCTGTAATTTTATTCTGATATGCAAGAAAGGTAATCGATTTGAGATATTTGAAAACCGGAATGAAAGAATGAGGAAAATGATTGTAGTAAATGAATCATTTCAAGGTGGATTTTTCAAGTTTGAATACATGATATTGTTATTGCTGTTGCCGTTGCTGTTATTGTTGTTGTTGTTGTTGTTGTTGTTGTTGTTTGTTACCGGTCAGGTCATATTTTATTACCAATGTCGCCTTGAGTTGTCCTCGAGGATAATGTATTCACAACAATAAATCAACAAAGACCAAAATGCATATCTTTTCACAGTTTTTGCTTTTATTACTTTGTGTAATCATTGGACTATGAAGAAGCATCCATATGCAAATTAGCAGAATTGATGAATTATTACGGGAATTATTCCTCATTCCGGAAATTTTCCCTCTTTGTTATTAATATTTTATTCGTCTAATTTCAACCGTTTCTTTCATTATGATAAAATGGATAATATAATGAAGGACAAAAGAAGGAACGATTTTAAAAATTAGATATTCCAAATTTTGATTATAACAGTAAATAACTGAGAGAAAAGGAATTCAACGTTTGATATCAAATTTTGAAATTTTATCTTTGCTATTATTCTTCTTAAGCAATCAGTGTATTGTCAGCATTTTATAAGCATAAATTATTTCGAAATTTCTATTAATTAGAAAATAACATAATTAATTTATAAATATGTGCAAAAGTGGATTTACAACAGAAATATTCATTTGGCAAAAAGAAATAAAATTAAAGCTAAAATTAATTTTTTGATTAAATTTTAGCTTAATCATATTTTAATGATTACTTAATCAGAAATTAAGGATTACAAATTATGCATATATGTATACTATATTATATAAATGAATTATTAGAGGAATCAATTAATCGATCAAATATGAATATCAGAAGTTTCATTTTTCTTAATTTCAACTATTCTTAGATTCCATATATGCTCGAATATTCTCCAACAACCATTGAAAGCCATCGTTAAGGCCTTGACCTGTGGTTGCACATGTTGCACAAATATGCCAACTTCGATTATTTATCAAATTTAGGCCTATGCAATCGCTAATTTCCGATGTTAACATTGCACCTTTTTCATCCATCTTATTGGCAAATACAAGAAGCGGTATCTAAAAGAGAACAAAAACAAATTCGTTTTTCTTAATTTATAAAATTAAATTTAAAATAAGCTAAATCCTTTCATTAAATATAGTAGTTGTTAAAATCAGGAATTTTAAAATATTATTTGTTAACTTCTCTTTCATTTTTCTCTTCCTCTCCTTTTCTTTTTCTCCTTCTCAAAAATTACTATTTATTATAGTTATATTGTAAAATATGGTGATAACATAATTATCATTCAATCTTCTGCACAATTATTATTATTATTATTGATAATAATTATAATATATTACTAATATTATTACTATTATTATTTTATGTATTACTAATATTATTACCATTATTGTTTTTTTATATTATTAATTATTGTTATTACCATTATTATCATTATTATACCATTATCATTATTATCATCATTATTATTATTATTATTATTATTATTACTATTATTATTATTATTACTATCATTATTATTATTATTATTATTATTGTTTAGAGAATTTCAAAATAATTTCAATTTAATATGATCAATTTTATAACAATTACAAAAAACTGACAAGAAAATTATATCACATAATAAAAATTTTATTAATTCAAAAATGATCAACATATTTTAGCAAATAATAAAAAAAGAAAACTATTATTATTAGCATTATTATCCTTTACTATTATCATTATTATCATTATTACTATTATTATTATTATTATTACTATCATTATTATCATTATTATTTAGAGAGTTTCAAAGCAATTTCAATTTAATATGATCAATTTTATAACAATTACAAAAAATTGACAAGAAAATTATATCACATAATAAGAATTTCATTAATTCAAAAATGATTTACATATTTTAGCGAATAATCAAAACGAATAAAATGAATTAAAAGAAAGTATGCTGCTAAAAAGCGTTACAAATATTGGAAAATAAAACTTAGTTGATTCGAATATTCCCTTAGCGATTTATTTTCAATAAAGCAATTTAAGATTAGCGAGAGCTGAACTAATTCGTTGAAATGTGAAGATAGCGATTTGCTTTTAAATTAATTAACGAAATCGATATTATTAAATAATGTTCATACTATAATAACCTGTTGTTGAATGTTTAATCATTTTAGAAGAAGAATATTATTATGACTAATCTCTGTCATCATCAATAGAAAACTTTTTGTTTCTTTCTATTATTAATTAAATTTTTATTATCAATACAAAAGAATGATATAGTTTATTATTATTATTGGTATAGAAAATTATTGGCTAATAGATAATGTTAATTAAAAGAAAACTGAGAAAAGCAAATCAAATTCCCAAAGGATTAAGAGTAATTAAAACAAACAAAAAAAAAAGATCTGATAAATGTTAGAAGAATTTAAAATGCTGTTAAACAATTTTATGATACTTTAAATTACTTTAAAAAGAATAATTATTAATGATTAAAAACAAAAGTATTTTATAAATTCAATTTAATGTCATTTTTAATAAAATGAAATTTAAAAATTATTAAATTAAATTATTTGTATCAATTCATTAAATATATACTATTTATATAATATATACTATATAATATATACTATTATAACTATTTAGTTGTTTATATTGCTTTTTGATAAGAAAAGATTATTTAATGAATTGATAATATCTGAAATTATTTAAACCTTTCTTCGATTTAATTCTCTATGATCCAATAATAATCGCAATTCATCGCGAACAACTGCTATTCGTAATCGATCATTGCTATCAATAACAAATGCTATACCGTCTACTTCTTTGTAGTAATTTTCCCATAAATTCCGATATTTTCCTACAGTAAATGATGAAATTATTAGAATACAAAAATATCGATATATCAGGTTTCTATAGATTAGGTTATTTTTGAAGTTTTTTTATCTTTCTTTTTTATCGCTAAAAATTATGCCATTAAAAAAATTTTTAAATGAATAAAAGAAATTTACCTTGTCCAGACATATCATGTACCAAAAATGTTGTATTGTTAAAAACAAATTTCTCTGTTGTATAACCAATTGATGGCATTATCTGACAGATAAATAAATTTCCTTCATGATTTTTAAAAAGTAAAAATCTAATTTAAATTTAATTTAAATTACAAAATTCTAGCGATATGTTATTTCATTAATTTCATTTCTATACGAAATACAATCTTTTTATTTTCCTTTATTTTTCTAAATTAATTAAAATTTAAAATGCATATTAATTACAGCAATTTTTTAGCTTTTTGTATTCCTTGAATAAATTTTTTCTATTTCGTATATATCCTCTATTATTCTTATCTTTGCTAATTAGTGCTAAGCAGTATTTTATTAACTTATTAATGTGATCGTATTTTTGTCCTCAGGTACCATTTATACACCTACTTGCTTGTTTCTATCATTCGTACACTTACTAGCTTGTTCCCATTTAGGTTATTCGTACACTTACAAGCTTGTTTCCATTTGGGTTATTCGTACACTTACCTGCTTTTTGCCATTTGAATCATTCGTAAGCTTACAAGCTTGTTCCTATTTGGGTCATTCGTACATTTACTTACTAGCTTGTTCCCATTTGGATCATTCGTACACTTACCAGCTTTTTCTCATTTAGATCATTCGATATATTTACCAGCTTGTTCCCATTTGGGTCATTCGTACATTAACTTACTAGCTTGTTCCCATTTGGATCATTCGTACACTTACCAGCTTTTTCTCATTTAGATCATTCGATATATTTACCAGCTTGTTCCCATTTGGGTCATTCGTACACTAACAACCTTGTTCCCATTTGGATCATTCATACACTTACCTGCTTCTTGCCATTTGGATCATTCGTACACTTACCAGCTTTTTCCCATTTAGATCATTTCTACACATACTAGCTTGTTCATCAAATCATTATTATTCATTTAAATTTTTTCGAAATTATAAATGAAATAAAATAACCTGAATTGCTTGATTTTCTTGTGATTTCATTCGATTGATAATGGTTGATTTGCCACTATTATCAAGACCAATCATTAGAATATTTACCTGTTTCCGTGAAACACCCAAAGCAATCGATATTTGTGATAATAATCCCATTTTAGCATAAATAATTTTATAATTTGTATAGCTAAAAAATTATTGCATTATTATTTCGTACTTTTTGTTTTCTTGCTTAATTATACGTAAAGAAAATCTTTTGCAAATATTACATATGAATCATTAATTTAGTATAATTTAATTAATTTAGTATAAATTATATAATTAGAAAAAACATATTAATATTTTAATTATTTAGTTGTGAAATTTAAAAAATTTAAATATAGATAATTTAAATGAAAATCAAATAAACATACTATTAATAATTTATTTTTAGAATTTATTATTTTAAATTAAAATAAAATTATTTTTAGTATTTTAATTAATCACAATTTTATCATTATTAATTGCATACAATGAAATCATTATTTGTTATTATAGTTATAAAAAATCATCATAAATTAGCAACAAAGAAAAATGTTATGATAATACGTTATGATATGATCTTTGCGTATTATATTATAAGCATTCAATTATTTTTTGTTACTTTTACATTACTTTAAATTTGAATGAAATTTTATCAAAATTATGTTATGTAAACAAAAAATTAAATAACATGAAAAAAGAAATAAAATTTTTAATAGATATTTAATAATACTGCGAGATAGATAGATGGATTAATTGACTGATTGATTGGTTGATAGGTAAATAGATAAAAGATGGATAGATAGGTAAATAGATAGATAGATTGACTGATTGATTGATAAGTAGACAGATCGATATACAGATTGATTGATTGATCGATCGATTGATTGATAAGTAGATAGATGGATATATAGATTGATTAATTGATCGATCGATTGATTGATTGATAAGTAGATAAATGGATAGACAGATTGATTGATCAATTGACAAGTAGATAGATGGATAAATAGATTGATTGACTGATTGATTGATTGATTGGTAGGTAAATAGATAGATAGACAAATTAATTGATTAATTGACAGATTGATCGATCGACAGGTTGATCGATTGATTATTTGATGGATATATAATTCATCTTATTTTAAAAAAGAAATATACCTCCCAACACTTCATTTTACCATTTAAGAAATAATGGAAACTAATGCGATACATTTTCAAAAACAATATTTTATGAGAAATCTAAAATGTTATCGATGTGGGCATATATATGTTTCCATGGTAACTTTATTACTTGACGTAAGCTATTTTCGATTATTACCTATTTTAAATTATTATTTACAATTGACATAACAATGTATGTTGCAGAATATTTATTGACAGATTTTTTTTACTTGATGAAATTACATCATTTTAAGATTATTCTTTCTTTTTTGTATTTAATGATATTGTTAAATATTAATGAAAATGCATATTTGAATGATTTAATTTTCTGGGATATTTGATTGGAAAATGATAACGTTGGATAGAATATTCGATATTTCATGTTGTAGCTATAATAAAGATTACTTCTAATCGGATATAGTTAAACTCTTTCAATATCAAATATAAAGAAAAATCTTTGCCCACTAGAAGTTAATAAATCAATTACTTCTTTCAGTTTATTCAAAGAGTGCCTTAGAGATGTTCAAGTTAGTAGGATATTAATTGGCTGAAAAACGAACAATTCTTAATTACTGCTACACTAGTTAGTTGGATATTTCATAGATTGAAAACTTCTTTTTTATGAAGAGAATCGAACAGAAAACTAATATATAAACAAATCCTAAATTGATAATTCCTATATTTTCCACTGTGCATGTCTCACGGTTGTAATAAAATCATTTAATACTTTGTTACAATTCTAAATCTTTGCAAGAAAATACAACTCTTGAAACCAATTAAATCTATTAAATATTAGTGGTATATAAGACAGATATACAAAAATTTTCTACCACAGCATTAATGTACTCGGTAATTAACAATAAAAATAACCCGTAAAAACGAGAAAAAAATTCTAGACTAAATTCTTTAAAACAAAGAAAATATACAACTTGTACATACTTTCAATCAAAATTCACCGGAATCATCCAGTTGAAAAATTCAAACAGTGAACAAAATGAGATGACCTTTTGTTCATTGTTGGAATTTTTAATACGATTGTAATTCCATTAGGGGATGTTAAATCATCAATGATCTTATTTAACAAAAGCTTGCAATGCATCATTCGAACAACGAGATATATCAAATACTACACCACGAAATTATCATTGCCGTTTTTTGTTTCCTGTTGCCGCTTTTCTCGTTTTTTTTGGATATCCACCAAGCCATGAAGCTAACATTTCCGAAACATCGGGCACATCCACTTGTGGCATAGTTTTAGCCATCTCCTAAAAACAATAAATTACCTTGCTAGTCTGTTATCGCAAAAACAAAAATAATATGAGTCAGTAAAGTAGATTCAATATAAAATAAACTGTCCATTAATAGTATTAAATTTCAAACGATCCCATTAAAGTTTAAGATTTTTTTGCACTACGAAACATCACTATTTGATTATAGATCTGGAATGCACAACTGCAAAACTTTCTTCATTCCAATAAAAAAGCATAAATAGTTCCCTGCTCGATAACATCTTTGGGATTCGTATAACTAAAGAATCCTATATACAGAATCTCCATGAAAAAGCAGTAATTGCAATAATGTATTCGCAAAATTGGAGAAAAAAAGTTATAAATTTAATAAATAACTTACTTTCTTGACTTCAGGATCATTTGCATTAATAAGCTTTGGCAATATAACAAGTAGAACAAGAGGTACAACCATCATTAGAACCATTGGATTAGTTAGCATATCTGTTAAATGCCATTCTTCTCGAGGTCGAAAATAAATAATTTGGTGAACTGCATTCAAATGCAAAGGATATGGAAGGGAAGACACCAGTGACGGCTGAAATGAATTAAACATCTGCAAGCATCTAAAACTAACTGTTGAGTAAACTCACAATATTAACAGGTCGTAAAGAGCTTAAACTCCCAAAAAAATTCGGAAATATAGACATCGACCATGCAAAAAATGCTCTAAAAACTAACCTGCAACAAATTCAGTCGCCGCGCTCTTATTTTACCCTTCGAGGTAATATCAACTCGTACTGGTTCAAAAGCATAATCAATGTTTGAAATTTCAATAATATAAGAACCTGGTGGAACTCCAGAAACTACAAACGAGCCATCTTCTCTGAAAATAAATTTTACCATTTATAAGTGTTTAATATATAAATCTACAAATTCTACATGTGTGTCTCAAACGTAAAAGTATCTTTAGCCATTATCTTTAGCCAAAAAGTATCTTTAGCCATTATTCCAGAATAGATTTCCAACTTTCCTATAAAAACCCTAGTGGATGTCTACCAATAGAAGACATTAACTCATTTCAACAACATCGTCCAGATATTAAGCAGTAGAAATAAGACACGAAAATAAAACAAACTGTCTGATGATAACCAACCTTACAAATGCGACGTGCTTAAAGTCATAATTCACCAATACACGACTTGGACCTAGTCTGCCTTTTTGAGCAGTAACTGATTCCGGAAAAACGACCTGCCCTTCGATTTTATAGGTTGTTGTAACAGGCTCAACTGCAGCTTCCAGCGTCGCTGCTAATTCTTGCACCGCAGACAGAAGCAATGATAATAGTACAAATATTGACATAACCTTTAAAGAGGAAATTTAAACTGCAGAAATATTCAAAAAGAAACGTTTCCTTACATCAAAAAATATGAGATAGATTATGAAACAAAGCTCCGGAACTGATAAAAATGTGCATTATTTATTCTCTTTATTGGACACTTCTAAAACATAACGAAAAATTCACAAATATATTATATGATGGAAATGATCAAAAATTAATAAAATATCTCACAGCAAAATAATAATGATATAACAAATTAAATAGAAAACATGATAACAATAAATAACAATTAAAATAAAAAAAATAAAATTCAGAATAGCAAAAGTATCACCTCTAATAAAACTAATGTACTTTGCAAAAACTTGTATCCAGTGTGTAAGAGATTCATCATACATGTATTGTTGTGAATAATAACTTTTGTGTAACAAGAAATAACGATTATATCATGTGAATTTTTACAGTGCTATGAAATTATCGAAACAAACTAGCAAATAATATGGCTGTAATATATTACGAAAACTACTTACTTGAATGATTCTTTCTCTGTATTCTGCATAATTCGAAAATACATAGTGTAAAGTACAATACTGAAATTATACATCCATAGTCAATGAAAAAATATACTTATGAGAATAAAGATTTTCATAAAGCTTGTCTAGAAGCTCTACTGCATGGTTCATTAATTAGAATCGATGATCACGTGTTACAGACTGCAATATTTTAAAAAGAGCAATACGTAAAACAGAGATGGCATAAATCGCGGTGGCTCAAAGATGAACTATTTAAGTCATGAGTCTCTGAGAGGAACAAAAAAAAGCTACCGAAAAAAAAGCCGATTTGTACGTTTGAAAGTGAAATTTCTGTACTGCACTGCGTTCCAAAAAATTAAAAGGTAAGCAGCTATCAAATACGCATACATAAATAAATAGCAAATGAATTAGTTGAAACGCTTTAAGAATTCTTCGGCAGATACTCGAGCACGGGCATTTAGTGCTAATTTCATATCACTGATTTCCTGCAAAAACCATTCTCTTTCACATGAAACAATTACAGCAAACTTAAGTAACGAGTTTCGGGAAATAAAATTCATTTCTTGAACTTTTCAAATACTTGTTATAATAAAGTTATATGAAAATGACTAAAATGAGTCAAAACTATAAACGGAATGAAAAATTTCCAAGTCTTTAATTTATAGAACTTTTATCTGGATGATAAGAACATTTCTCTTTTATTACGGAATATCTGAGCAATTAAAATGCCGATTAAAAAAAATTTTTTAAATTTCCCATTCAGACATAATTATTCTATTAATAGCTGGAAAAAACATCCGATTAGGCATTCGAGGAAGTTGCAAAATAATGGACCAAATTCCTCAAATCTAATAAATACGGATATCATAAAAAAGGACAGAAGATTTGCATGATATGGTGAAATAAATTTGGCTCGAAATTTCACGCAAGATATCTGGAATTTAGTAAGTGCACCATAAACACATAAGTAATGGATACGTATATATAAACACATACCTTATCAATTTCCTGCATAAAGTGAATCAAAAAATCAACTAGTTTGTGCTTATACATCATTTCCGTATGCGTCGCAGTTATCAAAAACGATATATCATAACCTGGCATCGGTTTTCTATAAGAATTAATTTTGTTATAAAAGTAAAAAACAAAACAATCGTTTTCCAAAGTCAAAACTTGTTGTACATATGTAGTCTGCTTATATTTACAGAAAAGATTTAACTACAACATTACTGGGCGAATAATGCATAAGAAATAAACCTTCTGAGTATAATAAAGTTGTCAGCCCTCTGACACATGAAGCGTGTAAATTTGTGAGTTAAAATTTTTTCAATATCATCGGCTTGTTTCAATGCAATACTGACGCGCACCGAATTGATCGACGGCTCAATGAGGACACGTTCCTGTTTGTTACGTGATACAACTACCGGAGTTAACAGAAGTTCGGATGATGTGCCAACTTCTACCTGAAATTAACTTGATTGCTTTTTTCTTATTCTCTGTTGAAAACAAAAAAAAGCGTTTGCCATTCATATTTAAAGAGGTACTCGCATAAATAAAATTCATAAATAAAAAAAGATGTTTGCATACAGAAAGATGACCGTGACCACAGTATAAAAAAGAAAAAAACGACAGCTGTTTGTCGAACCTAGGATAGAAACCTAATAAATGAATGCTCAAGTCTTATGTGTAAAAACGATGAATTGTTTGAGTTTTTATCCCTTGAGCATATCTTAGTAGATCTTTTAAATTAACACCTTCATTTACTTATCACTACAGCATGCATAATGCAGAATGCAATGTCATCCTGTGTATTTTTCGACTTGCTGCAAACTGAAGTTTTTTTCTGGAAGTTTCCAACTTTTTGTTTTTCATATATTTCTATGTCGGTTGTAAAAGCAGCAAATATATAAATACGAAATGATACTAGATTCGAACACTATATTAAACGACAAATTATTCACGGAAAACATGATAGCCACTTACTTCCGGTTTATTATATCGTTCAACTACCTGCGAACTAAACTGTTCCAGGCACATCGCAGCTTCTAATGTCTTTCGTACAGCTTCCAAATATGGTTGCAGTGTAGCACTCTATAAACAACTCATTATTGATTTTAGATATAGTATGAATGCAAATAAACTAAATGATTCGCCCGCTTCCATGAATCTACAGTTTTTTAAAATACTTTTTGTTACGCGACTTTTTAGATAACTACTTCTTGATTTGATTTTGAAAAAAAACAGACCTTATTTTAGCATTAAATGTAAATTACAAAACTTAGTTCAATGATTGACGAAAGTGATGACTAATGACATATGAAATGCATATAGCAGGACTACAAATAGAACGAAATATAAGCTATGCATAGCTAGGAAAGACTACAAATGGAGCAAGTATGTGTAAAAGAAGGAAAAAGTATATAAGTAGGCATACATTAATATGATGCAACTGGACACAAATGTATTTAACGGTAATTATTACTACAACTAATAACCAACTGTATAAATTGAATCAATATGCTTATAACAATATTTAAAATGATGTTAGGAGTAATATATGTTATAAGCATATTGCTTATAACATATATTACTCCTAACATCATTTTAAATATTTAAGATAACTGGCACTGTTAAAACCTGAACACCTTCCAGTTTATAAAAGCATCGGCAAATATAATCACCATAAATAAATGATGAAGTAAATAAGTTCGTAAACAATGAGTAAAAAAAGTAGATAAAAAAACAATAACTAAGCAAATAATTAAATCAATAACATACCATCCTTTATAGATATAAACTTCCCGCTTAAGCAGTTTGCACGTTGCAAATTCCAAGCTCTGCAATGAATTTCAATACAATAATTGGATAAAACAATTCTTGGTGCCAAAAATTAAAATTAAACGTAACTCATATAAGCATATGTCATTAATAAGTGTTAACGTCTTATGTAATTCTAACCATTCGATGAGCAATTATAAATATAAAAAAAAAATTATCATTAATTTTTATTTTTATTCTCAAATTTATATCTTCATCCAACGAAAGAAAAACGCCATTAATGAATAAAGGAAGATTTACTGATTCCCGGTACGATCAAAACACATTTTTGAAGACAGCTATTATAAGATATGAAAAAGTGTATTCATGCACATGCACGTATGCACACGTGTTCACGTACGCCTAAATAATCCCCAGACAAAGAAAAAAAAGGAAAGGAGCATTTTCCCGGAAAAAAACAGGGGCTCGTGCTAACTCAATATACAACATACAAGCTATAATTTCGGGAATCTATTGCGTGTGTTGCAGCTATTCGACAAAAATTTAACGATAAATTAAAGGTCAGACAAATGGTAATGATTCATATATGAATGATAACGATCTATAGATGGGTGATAATTACTTGCTAAGGTATATTTTAGTCATTTATTTGATATAAAACATTTCTTCATTACATCAAAATTTCTAAAGATTAATTTTAGCACTGCTAAATGGGAGATATTAGGGGAAAAATGGAAATGAAAGCTTCTCACAACTTCCAAAACTTGATTAAAAATTAAAGTTACGTAACCATGCAAAAATTCAGCATATAAAAATATTTGGAAAGCAAATTTAATAAAATACCGGCGAAAGTCTTTCTTTGGTTAGATGTAATAGCGTAGTTGCTAAGTGGCGCTATTACTGCCCTAACAACTATGTGGTTCAAATCTTGTGCGTTGATTGAAATAATCATTGAGCCAATCCTTAACAGAATGTATTGTGGTGACCAAATGATAGGGCTGAGCACGTGAAGAAGGACTACTTTTGTTTCCGGATAATTTCCGAATAAGAATAGTAGCGATTTAGAAAGATGATATTAGAAATAATATCAGAATGTGAACGGATGATATCGTAGGAAGAATTGATAACTTAATTAATCATAATATCGAAAGTAAATTATCACTTTGTTGAATTACTTCAATTAGCATCTTAGCATTAATGACTTATGGAAAAAAACTTGTTGCAATTAATATATATAATATTTTCTTTGATTGATAAATCAAAATATTATCAATATTAAATCATTTTTATAAATTCTCTTCTCCCTTGTTGCTACAGGTATTTTATAATATTATATGAAATAAGTGAAAACCCTCCTACTAATCAAAATTAGTTATAATGAAATAAATATATTACCTGTAATCAACACTCCTACCTGTAGTTTGTCTGTAGTTAAAAAAAGGAAGAATATTAGACAAATAATACAAATCATTCCTAATCAATAAAAAAACAAAAAACTATTTTGAGATATTACAGTTCCTAAAGTTACAGTATTCCCTTTATTCGCCTCGATTATTGTAAAATTATTCAGGAAAAAAAATTACTGTAGAATATAGAATTGAAAGAAACATAAACATAAATAAATCTATTAACAAATATTACATGAAGTTGCAATATATATTTTCATTAAGCAAAATATCACGCATAATTATAATACAAAAAGTATAGAATATACTTTAGCAATAATTTCAATCAAAAAAAATATTATGATAAAGAAAAATTGATTCTTCAATGAGTCATTAAAAATTTAGGAATTTAAATAAATGACGAAATAAATAGTTAGTATTAGCGCATCCAACATTAATAGTATTAGCACATCCAACAGGCACTTTACTATAACGTATAAGTTATTATAATTTGAATCGTTTTACTTTTAATGTTGCAAATGTTTCGACCGAAATTTTTTTTGGTATTGAAATTTAAACAAGAATATGTGTAATGACATATTATTAGTTCAAATTTCCTATTTGATGAAAAGTTCTTTTCAGGTGGGAATCAATGCTATATTTTCCAGAGCCAAATGACAAATATCACCTAAATTTTGGAAGTCTTAATTGAAATGGAATGAAATGAAATTGCGCAAAAAATATTGCAGTGCTTTGCATAAATCATTTGTCATAGTTCAATATAATAGTTGAAATAATATTATTCAGTATGATAGATTAAACATCAATTGATGTTACGTTATTGTTGAACATGGATTATTAATCCATGTTATTTGTCATTCTCACCTTTATAGCATTTGCAGATACGATCTATTGACAGTTTCCAATAAAAGGCCTTCTTGGCAATCTCTGTCATTCCACAAATTTCATTGAGTAAACAGCATTTCATTTATTTCAAACAAAATGCCAGCCTCCTCTTAAAATTTCGCGTTATGTGGAAAATAATAAGAGATCACAATAACACTATAAATAAGCAGCCTTTTTTTGAACCAGAATTATCTTTCTATAAAATTTATCTTTAGAACACCCGCGACCGATTTCCACCGGGAATAAGTTATTATGCTTATTATTTAAATGAATCATGCCTTTATTGTATTAGCAATGAATGCGTAACTACGCGTTTCCGATGCTAATATTTTTTGAAATGCATTGCATTAATGAAATTTCTTTTTTAAAGCAATTAGTCAAAGAGCGAGCGGTCATATGCAACCATTCCATAATGTATTGGTAAATTTGAATATTTTTCAGAATCGGCAAGAAATCATATCAATCAATATGCATTTCTTCCATTTCATCCTCTTCGTCTTTTTCTTCCAATTAAACATCCAAACCTCGGTAAGTTCATTAGTGATTTAAAAAAATTAGACACTTCAATATTTCAGAGACATCGAATAATCAACGTTAAATGAGACGGATAATTTCATATAATTTCAGGAAGCACAAACGGTACAAACAGAGCCCTTCGATTTATCAGTGCGGAAAGTGAGTGAGGAACGAATACAATTACAGAAATTATCAAATAGTGAAACGAATCAAGCACAGACGGAAAGTTTCCCTCAATCATCCCATTTGAGTGCTCATGAGAAGACGCGTACCGGTGAAAAGGCACACAGTTGTACGATATGTGGGAAAAGTTTTTCTCAATCATCTCATTTGATAACACATGCGAGGATTCACACCGGTGTGAAGCCGTACAGCTGTTCGACATGCAATAGGAATTTTTCTGATCCATCGAATATGAAAAAACATGAGAAGACTCATACCGGTGAAAGGCCACACAATTGTACGATATGCGGGAAAAGTTTCTCTCAATCATCGGATTTGGGCAGACATAACAGAACTCATACTGGTGAAAAGCCGCACAGCTGTTCGATATGCAATCAAAATTTCTCTGATCCATCTAATATGAGACAGCATGAGAGAGCTCATGCCAATGAAAGGCCTTACATTTGCCCAATATGTAATCAAAGTTTCTCCCGTTCAACGAGTTTGAAGAAACATAAGAAGACTTGTACCGGTAAAAAGCGGTACAATTGTCCGATATGCGATAAACGTTTCTATCGAAGTGATAAATTTAAAAAGCACATGCAAACCCATAGCAATAAGTAGCTCTTTTCCAACCTTTTTCAATTTCCAAAAACAGACAAAATAATAACATATACCTAAAAATCATAATCAATGCTTATATAAAAGAGGATTTCTCCTCTTTGTAGTATTATAAAAGAAATGTGATAAAATTACGATCAAACAACAAAAATAAAAGAGAATCAGCTAAAACTGGAACAAATAGTGAAACAGATATTATAAAAGATGTCAAATAAGAAGATCAAATAAGAATATAACCTAATCTAAAGTAATAGCAACAGATTGTATACATTTTGAACAGTTACTATAAAATCAATGACCCCCAATATAGAACCTACCCCTGAAATATAAGACTTAAAATTTTTTGCTGTTATTATCCTTATTCCTTACCTGTATAATATTCATTTTGCACCTGACAGTAAATTAATACTATTTTATTGCTATTCGTTTGCTCTTTATTTCATTTCAACAAATAAAATTCTCTGCATCGTTTATCTACTCGCACACTTATTAAACAGACAATCGTTGCAATATTAATTATTGGATGAATCACTTATAAAATGTTGATGAATCAATTTGTAATTTTTGTTAGAACAAAACGAGAATGATAGTCAATTAAAAACAATGAAACTATCTATGAAATAATTTTTGCATTGTAAGAAAATCGCGCTGTAAATAATGGCAGTTCTTCTGAATTAGTCTGATATAACAATTCTGAAATTTCTTGAATCCGACTATTGCATACACTCAGATCAGATTCTCTTAGTTTGCTTCGGAGCATTTAGACGGAAGCACTCTCAAAACAACCGGCTATATGTTAAGTATTTCTCATTTAGCTCATTGTATGCAATTTTGATACAGTCGTTACAACCGTTACCATAATAGTTGTTACAATTGTTATCATTTCATTATTCGAACATCCTCTGAAGTATTCTTTTAATTTTTCAGGAATTGAAACAATGTCATCTGAAATTTGACAGCAAAGAATTTCATCACTTCCAATTCATCAGCTCGTCATTCTTTCCTTCCTTGTAATTGATATAACCCAAATGGAAAACTTTCACTTATCACTCTCCATCTATTAGACAACTGATAATGAAGATAATAGCTTATTTTTGTACTTTTTGCAAATGACTGAGTTTGAAGATATTATTTCTGATATAAAAAGCCTCTATAATAACTCTGGAAGTTGTCAGTTGCTTCCATTGCTTTTGATTGATTATTATCTTTCTGTCTTCCTGATTATCTTTCTCATTTTTGTTCTAATTAAAACTGCGGATCGATTCAGTAACATTTTTACAAGTGATTTGTCCAATAATCAATACTACAGTGATTTTCTGCTCAATAAATGTGCGAAAGGTAGATAAACGATACAGAGAATTTTATTTGTTGATGTGAAATAAAGAGAAATAGCAAATAAATAGCAATAAAATAATATTAATTTACTGTAAGATACAAAATGAATAATATACAGGTAAGGAATAACAAAAACAGCGAAAAATGAATTAATGAAGAATTCAATTAACGAAAAACAGAAACAATTTGCAGTACCGGAAATTGCAGCGGGTATTTCAGTTAAAAATTTAAAAGTTTTAGGAAACACTGGTTGCATACAATTCCATTTAAAAGAGCTACTTATTGCTATGAGTTTTCATGTGCCTTTTTAAATCATTGCTTTGATAAAAAGCATTGCCGCATATCGTACAACGGAATGGCCTTATGCCCATATGCGCCCTCTTATGTACATTCAAAGATGATAATTGAGAGAAGCTTCGATTGCATATCGTACAATTGTACGGCTTTTCACCGGTATGCGTCCTCCAATGCGAATTCAAATGTGATGATTGAGAGAAACTTTTATTGCATATCGTACAACTGTACGGCTTTTCACCGGTATGCTTCCTCCTGTGTACATTCAAATCCGATAATTGAAAGAAAGTTTTATTGCATACCGTACAACTGTACGGCTTTTCACCTGTATGAGTTCTGTTGTCTCTGTTTAAATCCCATAATTTATTGAAATCTTTCCCGCATATCGTACAATGGTTCGGCTTTTCACCAGTATGCGTCTTCTTATGAGTACTCAAATGCGATGATTGAGAGAAACTTTCCTTCTGTCCTTTATTCGTTTCTTGCAGTTGTATTTGTTCCTCACTCACTTTTCGCATCGATAAATCCAACGGTTCTGTTTGTACCGTTTGTGCTTCCTGAAATTATATGAAATTATCCATCTCATTTAACTTTGAATATTTGATATCTTTGAAATATTAAAATGTCTTATTTTTTAGATCTTTAATGAACTCACTGAAGTTTGGATATTTAATTGGAAGAAAAAGGCGAGGAAGATGAAATGGATGAAATGCATATTGATTGATATGATTTCTTATCGATTCTGAAAAATATTCAAATTTACCAATACATTATGGAATGGTTGCTTATAAGAAATCACACCGCTCCCTCTTTGACTAATTACTTTAAAAGAAATTTCTTCAAAACAATGCATTTCGAAATATATTAGCATCGAAAACGCAACAGTCACGCATTCATTGCTAATACAATAAAGACTTTATTCATTCAAAATATAAGCGAAACAAATTCTTCCCGTTGGAGAACGTTCGCCGTGGTTTCAATGGTAAATTTTGGGGAAAGATAATTCTGATTTCAAAAAAGGCTGCTTATTTATAGATTTATTGTGATGTCTTAAAACCTCCCACATAACACGAAATTTTGGTAAAAAAGTGAAATATGTGTTCACTGAATGAAATTTGTGGAAAGACAGACAGAGATCACCAAATAACTTTTATTGGAAACTGTCAAATGATCGTATCTACAAATGCTATAAAGGTGAGGATGACAACTGACATGTATTAATAATTCATGTTTAACAATAAGATTACAGAAATTGATGTATAATCTGTAATGTTGAATAATTTCATTTCAATTTTTCATTGAAAAATTATTGCAAAGCACTGGCAACATTGTTTGTACAATTTCATTTCGTTTCATTAAAGTTTTTTCACGGTTTCAAAATCGAGGTGATATTAGTGATATTAAAATATTTCGAAATGCATTCCTTGGAAAAAATTTCTTTAAAGTAATTAGTCAAAGAGCGAGCGGTGTGATTTCTTATAAGCAACCATTCCACAATGTATTGGTAAATTTGAATATTTTTCAGAATCGATAAGAAATCATGTCAATCGATATGCATTTCATCCATTTCATCTTCCTCGCCTTTTTCTTCCAAATTAAATATCCAAACTTCAGTGAGTTCATTAAAGATCTAAAAAATAAAAACATTTTAATATTTCAAAGATATCAAATATTCAACGTTAAATGAAATGGATAATTTCATATAATTTCAGGAAACACAAACGGTACAAACAGAGCCGTTGGATTTATCGGTGCGGAAAGTGAGTGAGGAACGAATACAATTACAGAATTTATCAATTAATGAAACAAATAAAGGACAAACGGAAAGTTTCTCACAATCATCGCATTCGAGTGTTCATAAGAAGACTCATACTGGTGAAAAGATCCATAGTTGTACGATATGCAATCGAAGTTTTTGAGCCGACATAGCAGAACTCATATCGGTGAAAAACCGTTCAGTTGTACGATATGCAATCAGTTTCTCTCAATCACCGCATTTGACAGATCATGTGAGAACTCATATTGGTGAAAAGCCACACAGTTGTACGATATGCGGGGAAAGTTTCGTTAAATCATCGGATTTGAGCAGACATAAAAGAACTTACGCCGGTGAAAAGACGTGCAGTTGTACGATGTGCAGGAAACTTTTTGATCAAAGCGATAGTTTGAAAGAGCATGAAAACTCACAACAATATGCTTTTTAATTGAATTATATGCAACCAAAGTTTCCTAAAGCAATTCATTTTGAAATCACATGCGAAGAATTAAATTGAAATACTCGCCGCTATTTTTGGCACTGCAAATTATTTTGTTAATTGATTTCTCGCAATTTAATTATTCATTCATAATTTTTGGTTGTTTTTCCATTTTTCGCTGTTATTGTTATTCCTTACCTGTATATTACTCATTTTGTTCCTGACAGTTAGTGTTATTTTATTGCTATTTGTTTGCTATTTCTCTTTATTTCATTTCAATGAATAAAATTCTCTGTATCGTTTATCTGCTCGCACACTTATCGAACAGGTAATCACTGTAGTATTAATTATGGGATGAATCACTTTTAAAATGTTGAATCAATTTGTATTTTTTGTTAGAACAAAATGAGAAAGATAACCATTTAGAGGCAGTGAGAACAACTGATAACCTTGAAGGCTAATGTAGAGGCTTTTTAAATCGGTAATGACGTCTTTGAACTCAGCCATTTGCGAAAAGTGTAGTAAACAATTATCTCTATCACTTATCAGTTGTCGGATAAATGGAGAGTGATAAGTGAAATTTTCCCATTTCAGTTATATCACACAAATGCTTACATTTAATTTTTTAGCGAGGAATTCCAAATTTCTTAATTATTCTTCGGGTTTTTGAAATATCCAAAATGTTTTAATGGATACATCATTCATAATAATAATGACGATAATTTTGAAATTTTTTATTCGACAATTTTTTATCTTTTAAATTTAAAAAATAAAAAGGCGTAAAGTAGCTGTGATAACAATTTCAAACTGATATCAATGATAATATCACATTAGTGTTTAGAAAATCATTTATTCAAACAATACTGGACAAGCTTCTTGCCGTATTGATAAAATTTGAATCATTCTACTTTTATGCTGCAAAAGTTCCGATCGGAACTCTTCTTTCTTATTGAAATTCAAATAAGAGTGCCGTAAAATCACATTATCCGTTCTAATTTCCTATTTGATGAAAAGTTTTTTTAACGTAGAAAATCAATAGTATATTTTTCCATATTCAATGATATATTTTACAAGATTTTCCTTTCCCGCTAATATTATCTCAATTTTGAATGAATGGGAAAACTGAAATGAAATGAAATTCTGGAAACAATGTAGCCAGTGCTTTACATAAATCATTTGTCATAATTCAATACAATAGTTGAAATGATATTATTCATATGACAAATTAACATCAATTGTTGCTATTTTATTGTTAAATATGGAATTTTACCGGTTCTAACTTCTTATGATATATATTACAACATTTTTCCCTCTCACTAATATAACCTCAATTTTGAAGGTATGAAAAAACTGAAATGAAACGAAATGAAATTGTACAAACAATGTTGCCAGTGCTTTGCATAAATTTTTCAATGCAATAATCCAAATGAAATTATTCAACATTACAGATTATGCATCAATTGCTGCTTTTATTGTCAAACATAGATCAATGGTACACGTTGTTCGTCATCCTCACCTTTATAGCATTTGAAGGTACGATCTTTTGACAGTTTCTAATAAAAGCTTTTTGGCGATCTCTGTGCTTCCACAAATTTCATTCAGTAAACACTATTCCATTTATTTCAACAAAAATGTCAACCTTTTTCCAAAATTTAGCCTTATGTGAAAGATATTAAGAGATCACAATAACACTATAAATAAGCATCCTTTTTTGAAATCAGAATTATCTTTCTATAAAATTTATCTTTAGGACACCCGCGACGGATTTCCACCGGGAATAAGTTATTATGCTTATTATTCGAATGAATAATGATTTTGTTGTACTAGCAATGAGTGCGTGACTGTGCGTTTCCGATGCTACCATGTTTCAAAATGCATTGTTTTAAAGAAATTTCTTTTTTAAAGTAATTAGTCAAGGAGCGAGCGGTGTGATTTATTAAAAGTAACCATTGCATAATGTATTGGTAAATTTGAATATTTTTCAGAATCGGCAAGAAATCAATCAATATGCATTTCATCCATTACATCTTCATCTCCTTCTTTTTCCAATTAAACGTTCAAACTTCAGTGAGTTCATTAAAGATTTAAAGAAATAAAATGATTCAATACTTCAAAGATATCAAAATTCAGCATTAAATGAGGTGGATAATTTCATATAATTTCAGGAAGCACAAACGGCACAAACAGAGCCGTTGGATTTATCGGTGCGGAAAGTGAGTGAGGAACGAATACAATTACGGAATTTATCAATTAATGATACGAATAAAGGACAGACAAAAGGTTTCGCTCAATCGTCGCATTTGAATGCTCATGAAAGGACGCATACCGGCAAAAAGCCACACAGTTGCGCGACATGTGGGAAAAGCTTCAACAAATTATGGGATTTAAGCAGACACAACAGATTTCACAGCGGTGAAAAGCCGTACAGTTGTATGATATGTAATCAAAGTTTCTCTCAATCGTCGGGTTTGAGCAGACATAACAGAACTCATACCGGTGAAAAGCCGTACAGTTGTACGGTATGCAATAAAAGTTTCTCTCGATCATCGCATTTGAATAATCATAGGAGAACGCATACCGGTGAAAAGCCGTACAGTTGTACGGTATGCAATAAAAGTTTCTCTCGACCATCGTATTTGAATAATCATAGGAGAACGCATACCGGTGAAAAGCCGTACAGTTGTATGATATGCGGGAAAAGCTTTTCATCGAATTTGAGCAGACATAACAAAACTCATATCAGTGTAAAGCCATTCCGTTGTACGATATGCAGGAAACCTTATCATCGAAGCGATAGTTTGAAAGAGCACATGAAAACTCATAACAATATGAGTTCATAACAATATGAAGCTTTTTAATTGAATTGTATGCAACCAAAGTTTCCTAAAGCAATTCTTTTGAAATCACCCACAAAGAATTGAACTGAAATACTGGCCTCTATTTTTGGCACTGAAAATTATTTCGTTAATTAATTTCTTGTAATTTAATCATTCATATCTTCTAGCTCTTTCATTTCATTTTTGCTTTCATTGTTATTTCTTACCTGTATATTATTCATTTTGTACCTGACAGTAAATTAATATTATTTTATTGCTATACATTTACTTTTCCCTTTATTTCATTTCAATGAATAAAATTCTCCTTATCGTTTATCTGCGCGCACACTTATCGAACAGACAATCACTGTAGTATTAATTTATCAGAAGGAATGAACACACAACGACATGCTAGTTAACGGAAGCCGAAATGAAACATCATTCAATGTTAAATTATTCCAAGTGCATTCGCTAATTTCAAAAAAGACTTCTGCCGAACTTCTCAGATTTTTAAATGTTCTGATTTCAATTCCTTACTTTTTACTTTCAAGGCAGCTCATGTCAAATATTTTTAAAATAATTTCTGCACTGCAAGAAAATCGCGTTATAAATACTGGCAGTTCTTCTTAATTAGTCTGATATAAAAATTCTGAAATTTCTTGATCATTAATTTTAAGCGATTTGGAAATGTGAAATTTCGCTTTGCTTTACTATTAATAGACAACACTTCCATTGTGCGTTATCATATTTGATGAATAGTTGATGGATTTGTTAATTTTAGAGAAAGAGTACATCCAATGAAAGATATCCGGAATAACCGGAAATTTTTGTCACATGGAAATACTTGGAATGAGTGCTTATAGTGCTCCGTGCATTACAGGATTATATGAATGAAGCTATGCAGGTAATTAATTCACTTTTCTTTTTTCCTTTTCTGTTACAAATGATTGCGAAAATGGGGAGCGTCCCAATAAGATAAGGTCCTCAAAATGTGACCTTTCCAGTTTGAAATTGCCTGTAAACTCGCTTGGAGGAGGCGGAGATTTCAAAGGGAGTTTCAAACCCGTCTAGTTTGAGTTAATAAGTTATGATTATCATGGATTAGACATGCCAAATGATTGATGTTCCTCTTTTGCATTGTAATTCGGATCCCGAATTAGCAGATAAACGATGCAGAGAATTTCGTTGAAATGAAATAAAGAGAAAAAGTAAATAAACAGTAGAAAAATAATATAATTTATTTTCAGGTAAAAATGAATAATACACAGGTAAGGAATAACAATAACAACAAGAAATGAAAAAGGAACTAAAAATTATGAATGAATAATTAAATTGCAAGAACTCAATTAACGAAAGACCGAAAAAATTTGCAGTATCAGAAATAGCAGCCAATATTTCAGCTTAATTCTTCATTTGTGATTTCAAAATGTTTTAGGAAACTTTGATTATATACAATTCAAAAGAAGTTACTTATTGCTATGAGTTTGCATGTGCTCTTTAAATTTATCACTTCGATAGAAACGTTTCTCGCATGTCAGACAATTGTATAGCTTTTTACTGGTACAAGTTCATATGTCTCTTCAAATGCGATGGCCGTGAAAAACTTTGACTGCATATCGGGCAACTGTACGGCTTTTCATTGGTATGAGTCCTCTCATGCTGTCTCATATTGGATAGATCAGAGAAACCTTTATTGCATACCATACAACTGTACGGCTTTTCACCGGTATGAGTTCTGTTATGTCTACCTAAAACCGATGATTGGGAGAAACTTTTCCCGCATATTGTACAACTGTACGGCTTTTCACCGGTATGAGTTCTCACATGATTTCGCAAATGAGATAATTGAGAGAAATTTTGATTGCATATCGTGCAACTATACCGCTTTTCACCGGTATGAGTTCTAATATGTCTGCCCAAAATCGATGATTGAGAGAAACTTTTGCCGCATATCGTACAATTGTATGGCTTTTCACCTGTATGAATTCTCACATGATTTCGCAAATGAGATGATTGAGAGAAATTTTGATTGCATATCGTGCAACTATACCGCTTTTCATCGGTATGAGTTCTGTTATGTCTGCCCAAATGCGATGTTTGAGAGAAACTTTCCATCTGTCCTTTATTCGTTTCATTAATTGATAAATTCTCTAATTGTATTCGTTCCTCACTCACTTTCTGCATCGATAAATTCAACGGCTCTGTTTGTACCGTTTGTGCTTCCTGAAATTATATGTAATCATCCATCTCATTTAACTTTGGATATTTGATATCTTAGAAATATTAAAATGTCTTATTTTTTAGATCTTTAATGAACTCACTGAAGTTTGGATATTTAATTGGAAGAAAAAGGCAAGGAAGATGAAATGGATGAAATGCATATTGATTGATATGATTTCTTATCGATTCTGAAAAATATTCAAATTTACCATACATTATGGAGTGGTTGCTTATAAGAGATCACACAGCTCGCTATTTGACTACTTATTTAAAGAAAAAAAATTTCATTTCGAAATATATTATCGTCGAAAATGCGACGGTAACGTATTCATTGCTAACACAACGAAGGCATTATTCATTCAAATAATAAGCAAAACACTGGGAATCGGTCTCGGGGATACCAATGGTAAATTTTATAGAAAGATAATTCTGATTTCAAAAAAGGCTGCTTATTTATAGTTTTATTGTGATGTCTTAAAACCTCCCACATAACACGAAATTTTGGAAAGAGGTTGACATTTTTGTTGAAATAAATGAAATTGTGTTTACTGGATGATAGTTTTGGAAGGACAACGATCGCCAAATCTTATTAGAAACTGTCAAATAACGTACCTGCAAATACTATAAAGGTGAGGATGACAAATGTCATGTATTAATAGTCCATATTTAACAATAAAATAACAGCAATTGATGTATAATCTGTAATGTTGAATAGTTTCATTTCAACTATTGTATTGAATTGCGACAAATGATTTATGCAAAGCACTGACTAAATTGTTTTCAGAATTTCATTTCATTTCATTCAGTTTTTCCATACTTTCATGGTTGAGGTGATATTAGCGGGAGGGAGAAATTTTGTAATATATATCATTGATTAATATGCGGAAGAATATTTTATTGATTATCACCCAAAAAAAATTTTTCGTCAAATGGGAAATTAGAATTAATAATATGTCATTGCACATGCTCTTATTCAAATTTCAACATGAAAAAAAGGCCAAAAATTTTGCAATACAAAAGATAAAACGATTTAAATATTGAAAAGTAATACTGAAGGAGATCGGTGGTGATTGGAAATGCTTCCAGCTAGAAAATTTAAAATTTAAATAATACATGAGAAAAAGACCAATTCGAACAAGGTTAAAATTTAACGAAATCAAATGATTTCATCTGTATGGATTCGATTTCAAAATAAAATCCTGTTATATTAACGACTCTAATCGCAGGCAAATACCCGTACTAATTCAATCATTATTAAGAAGACGCAATTTTATAGTTGAAAATGAAACAGTAAATCATTGCTGAGTTACACTGAAAACGGGGTTTCCTGCCTTTCCGGAAAATAAAAATAATGGAAACAATGTTAATGTGTGCGTAAAAAGATGCACCGAAAGCCATGAATGTTAAGAAGCATAGCAAATAAACTGAAACAATGATGAAAAAGATTCAGTATATTCTCAAGTAATTTTTCAGCAGTCACAACGTTATTTTCTATATTGGTTGTTCGCGAACTGAACTGACCATTTAACTGTTCGCTAATCTGAGCAACAAGCTGCAAAATCAATAATTTATATTATGCCGTGTAAATTCATACCTACTGCAGAATAATCCAGAATATGTTTCGGCTGCTTCTAAATCCCATTTCTTTGCTATATATTATTCATGAAAACTTAAATCACCTTCCTCCATTTGCATACTAGAAAAAATTACTCCTTCAAATACTTTCGTTCTTTTGCATAATAAAAAATTACTCATTCGTCGAATAAGTCGCAAATTCGGAACGGTAACTCGCGTTGGAATATGAAAGACTGGAAAAGCAGGCTATCAAGAAAAGAAAGCATCAATAAGTGAACACGAAGATAACTGCCGTAAACGCAGAAATGCAGACTTATGAAAAATTTTTAGGTTAATGAAGAATTATAGGTAAATTAAGATTTATGCAGTTATATGCATGTATCATTGTTTTATACATTTGAGTAGCCAAGGTGAATAAAAGTGAAAGATTCGATTGGATTTAATTTTGTGACGGAAATTTCGCATAGTTCGAGATCAGAAATTTATCACTAAATGGTTCAATATTGCTGCTAATGCAATTAGGACTTGGTGGTATAAACGCTAAACGTTCTTGTATTCATAGCACAGAAAATATGTGGAGATTGTAGCGGTGTAAAAGCAATTGTCCGAGATGTGAGATACGTTTCGATCGAAGCGATAATTTTAATGAACACGAATTCATAGCAATGAAAAGCTCTTTTTCAATTGAATTATATGCAACCAAAGTTTCCTAAAGCAATTAATTCATTTTGAAATCATTTTGAAATCACACATGAAGAAAGTTTATGTTGAAAAAGAAAATAGCTAAGCGCAAATTGTTCCTTTATTTTGTTAATTGAAATCTTGCAATTTAATTATTCATTCATTGATAATGGAATAATAAAGCGCCTGTAAGAGGCATAAATACTGCTAATTGTACAACATATTATGCGTAGTTCTCTAATAAAGCTGAGGTATTTAATAAATTCTATTTGTTTCAATGGCCTTTAACATCCTTTGTTTACCGGAGTTCTCGATGGTTTTCAATAGGGTCACCTTCGGTATTTGGTGCGAAGCGATACTGGACAAGCTTCTTGTCGGATTGATAAAATTTATTTTCCATTGCATGTTGGACTCTGGCACAATTTCAATCATTTTAATTTTATGTTGCAAAAGTTCTTATCAGAACCTTTTTTTTCTCATGTTGAAATTTAAATAAGAGTGCATGTAATGCATATTATTAGTTCTAATTTCCTATTTGATGAAAAGTACTTTTCAAGGTAAAGAATCAATATATTTTTCCATATATTAATCAATGATATATATATATATATATATAACAAGGTTTTCCATCCCGCTAATACTATCCCAATTTTGAATGCATGGAAAAACTGAAATGAAATGTAATGAAATTCTGGAAACAATGTAGCCAGTGCTTTGCATAAATTATGTGTCATAATTCATTACAATAGTTAAAATGAAATTATTCAGTATGATAAATTAAACATCAACTGATGTTATATACTTGTTAAACATGGATTAGTACGTTATTTGTCATTCTCGCTTTTATAGCATTTGGAGGTACGATCCTTTGACAATTTATAATAAAAGCTTTTTGGCGACCTCTGTCCTTCCACAAGTTCCATTCATTAAACACAATTTCATTTATTTCAACAAAAATGTCAGTCTCTTCCCAAAACTTCGCGTTACATGGAAAATTTTACGACATCATAATAAAACTATGAATAAGCATCCTTCTTTCAAATCAGAAATATCTTTTCGATTTGAAACCACAATGACCGTTCTCCACCGGGAAGAAGTTGTTTTGCTTATAATTTGAATGAATAAAGTCTTGGTTGTATTAGCAATGAATGCGTGACGGTTGCCTTTCCGACGCCAACATATTTCGAAATGCATTCTCTGGAAAAAACTTTTTTAAAGCAATTTGCCAAAAAAAGAGCGGTATGATTTCTTATACGAGCCATTGCATAATGTATCGGTAAATTTGAATATTTTTCAGAATCGCCAAGAAATCATCATACAATTTCAATATGCATTTCATCAATTTCATCTTCCTCGCCTTTTTCTTCCAATTGAACATCCAAACTTCAGTGAGTTCATTAAAGATTTAAAAAAAATAAAATACTTCAATATTTCAAGGGTATCAAATATTCAACGTTAAATGAGATGGATAATTTCATATAATTTCAGGAAGCACAAACGGTACAAACAGAACCGTTGGATTTTTCGGTACAGAAAGTGAGTGAAGATTGTATACAATTACAGAATTCATCAATTAATCAAACGAAGAAAGGACAGACGGAAAGTTTTCCTCAATCATCGCATTTGAGTGCGTATCAGAAGACGCATACTGGTGAAAAGCCGTACAATTGTATGTTATGCGGGAAAAGTTTCTCTTACTCATCACATTTGATAAGACATGAGAGGATACATACTGGTGAAAAGCCGTACAGTTGTGCGATATGCGGGAAGGGTTTAGCTAGTTCATGGGAATTGAGCATGCATAATAGAACTCATACCGGTGAAAAGCCGTATAGTTGCACGATATGCAATCAAAATTTCTCTCAATCATCGCATTTGGGCAGACATAACAGAATTCATACCGGTGAAAAGCCATTCCGTTGTACGATATGCGGGAAACCTTTCTATCGATGCGATAGTTTGAAAAGGCACATGAGTACTCACAACATATGAAGCTTTTTAATAGAATCGTATGCAAGCAAAGTTTCCTTATGCAATTCCTTTTGAAATGATACACAAAGAAAGTTGATACTGAAAAGAGAAAGAGTTAGGCCAATTTTAAACTGAAATGCTCACTGCAAATTATTTCTTGTATTTCTTTAATTGAAATCTTGTACTTTAATTATTCATTTACACTTATTATTTTTCTTTTCATTTTTACTGTCATTGTTATTTCTCACCTGTATATTATTCATTTTCTATATATCAGTAAATTACTGTTCTACTCATTTACTTTTCTCTTTATTTCATTTTAACGAATAAAGTATTCTGTATCGTTTATCTTCCTGCACACATATTAGCACACTTATTGGACAAACAATCATTATAATAATAATTAAAAATTTTTTAAAATTATTATCTAAATTTTGCAAGAATTCAACATGCAATAGAAAATAAATTTTATCAATACGGCAAGAAGTTTTTCCAGTATCGCTCGATATCGAATGCAATGGAGATCGCTGATTGGCATTGCGTTTCATCCTACTGAATACTTATCGAGATCTTCGAATTGAATTATTAAGTGATAAATTCCCAATATTGAACCATTAAGTGATGAATTTCCGATCTCAAACTATGCGAAGCTTCTGTCACAAACATAAATCCAATCGAATATTTCACTTTTATTCACCTTGGCTACTCTGATGTATAAAACAATGGTACACACATATAATTGCATAAATCTTAATTAACCTACAAATCTTCATTATTTAATGGTACATTTAACGAGATTTTCCTCTCCCTCTAATAATATCCATTGAATGCATGGAAAAACTGAAATGAAATGAAATTCTGGAAACAATGTAGCCAGTGTTTTGCATAAATTATGTGTCATAATTCAATACAATAGTTGAAATGAAATTATTCAGTATGATAGATAAAGCACCAACTGCTATTATGCTACTTGTTAAGCATGGATTAATACGTTATTTGTCATTCTCACCTTTATAGCATTTGCAAATACGATCTTTTGACAGTTTCTAATAAAAGCTATTTGGCGATCGTTGTCCTTCCACAAATTTCATTCAGTAAACACGATTTCATTTATTTCAACAAAAATGTCAGTCTCTTCCCAAAATTTCGTGTTACGTGGAAAATTTTACGACATCACAATAAAACTATGAATAAGGATTCTTTTTCAAATCAGAATTATCTTTCCGTATAATTTTTGTATTTGAAACCACCGCGACCGTTCTCTTCCGGGAAGAAGTTGTTTTGCCTATAATTTGAATGAGTAAAGTCTTGGTTGTATTAGCAATGCCGACGCTAGCACATTTCGAAATGGCATTCATTGGAAAAAACTTTTTTAAAGCAATTTGTCAATGAACGAGCGGTATGATTTCTTATACAAACCATTTCATAATGTATCGGTAAATTTGAATATTTTTCAGAAACGGCAAGAAATCATATCAATCAATATGAATTTCATCCATTTCATCTTCTTCGCCTTTTTCATCCAATTAAACATCCAAATTTCAGTGAGTTCATTAAAGATTAAAACAATTAAATATTTTAATATTTCAAAGACATAAATATTCAAAGTTAAATGAGATGGATAATTTCAGGAAGCACAAACGGTACAAACAGAGCCGTTAGATTTATCGGTGCGGAAAGAGAGCGAGGAACGAATACAATTGCAGAATTTATCAAATAATGAAACGAATAAAGAACAAACGGAAAGTTTCCCTCAATCATCACATTTGAGTGCTCAAAAGAAGACGCGCACTAGTGAAAAGCCGTACAGTTGTACAATATGTGGGAAAAGTTTTTCTCAATCATCTCATTTGATAAGACATAAGAGGATACATACTGGTGAAAAGCCTCACAGTTGTGCAATATGCGGGAAAAATTTCGCTAGGTCATGGGATTTGAGCATACATAATAGAACTCATACCGGTGAAATGCCGCACAGCTGTAAGATATGCGGGAGAAGTTTTTCTGATTTATCGCATTTGATAAGACATAAGAGGATACATACTGGTGAAAAACCTCACAGTTGTGCAATATGCGGGAAAAATTTCGCTAGGTCATGGGATTTGAGCATACATAATAGAACTCATACCGGTGAAAAGCCGTATAGTTGCACGATATGCAATCAAAGTTTCTCTCAATCATCGCATTTGAAAATACATAGCAGGGCGCATACCGGTGAAAAGCCGTACAGCTGTACAATATGTAATCAAAGTTACTCCCAATCATCGCATTTGATTATACATAAGAGGACGCACACCGGTATAAAGCCATACAGCTGTACGATATGCTTGAAAGGTTTCGTTAGTTCATGGGATTTGAGGATACACAATAGAACCCATACCGGTGAAAAGCCGTATAGTTGCTCGGTATGCAATCGAAGTTTCTCTCAATCATCGCATTTGAATGTACATAGGAGGAAGCATACCGGCATAAAGCCATTCCGTTGTACGATATGCGGGAAACCTTTCTATCGATGCGATAGTTTGAAAAGGCACATGAGAACTCACAACATATGAAGCTTCTTAATAGAGTCGTATGCAACCAAAGTATCCTCAAGCAATTCCATTTGAAATGATACACAAAGAAAGTTGATACTGAAAAGAGATAGAGTTAGGCTAATTTTAAACTGAAATGCTCACTGCAAATTATTTCTTGTATTTCTTTAATTGAAATCTTATACTTTAATTATTCATTTGAACTTATTATTTTTCTTTTCATTTTTTTACTGCTATTGTTATTTCTCACCTGTATATTATTCGTTTTCTATTTGACAGTAAATTAGTATTCTACTCATTTACTTTTCTCTTTATTCTATTTCAGCGAATAAAATTCTCTGTATCGTTTATACGCTTGCACACCTATTGGACAGACAATCACTGTAGTATTAATGATTGGATGAATCACTTATAAAATGATGGTGAATCAATCTGTAATTTTTTATGGGACATAATGAAAAAGATTTTTTTGAAATTAGCGAATGCACAATTGGAATAATTTAGCAATGTATGATAATTAACATTTAACATTGAATGAATATTGGTCACATGTGCCGATATCTAATGTTGAGCCAAACTGGGAGAGTTTTAAGAGAAATTGCGATTGCTGACCGCTGCCAGCTAAATTTTAACGATCACAGCAAAAATTGATTCTGTGATCAGTCGTTTTAGATTAATCCACCACTTTGTCATTTTAATGTGTCACTAACACAACTTTGAATAAATTTCATTCATTTTAGTTTTGGAAACAATTATTGTATGTAATTAAATGTGATTCAGATAATCACAGCGTTCCTAAATGGTAATGATAAGAAGTTAGGACTTCATGTTAGGCTTACCAAAGGCATTTAGGTAATAGGCCTGTCGCTCCTTTTTATGAGTGAAAATAAATAAGTTAGGATTTCATGTTGAGCTTACCAAAGATATTTTTATGATAGGCCTGTTGCTTCCGTTTATAAGTGAAAAATAAGTTAGGTATATTCTGAATGAAATCAGAACAGAAAGTCTAAAACCATTTTCTTCACAACAAAATAAATGGATTTGAGAGAGAGAATGTGAATGATAACAAAAATGTGAACTTTGACATATAGTTATTTAATAGAAAATTGTAATTAACTAATATACTGTCAGATATAAAATGAATGAATACTGGTAAGGAATAACAATGGCAGCAAAAAATAAAAAAAAGAAAAAAGGTATGAATTAATGAAAAATTCAATTAATGAAACACAGAAACAATTTGCAGCACTGGTTATAGGAGCGAGTATTTTAATAAAAAATTCAAAAAGAATAGTTTTAGGAGACATTGGTTACATATAAATCAATTGAATGGAGTATATTATTGCCGTGAGTTTGCATGTGCCTTTTCAAAATATTGCATCGGTTGGAAAGGTTTCCCGCATATCGTACTTTATGCCAGTATGCATCCTCTTATGTACATTCAAAGACGATGATTGGGAGAAACTTTGATTGCATATCGTACAATTGCGCGACTTTTCACCGGTATGAGATTTGCTATGTCGGCCCAAATTCGATGATTGAGAGAAACTTTTCCCGCATATCGTACAACTGTACGGCTTTTCACCGGTATGCGTCCTCCTATGTACATTCAAGTGCCATGATTGAGAGAAACTTTTTTTGCATACCACACAACTGTGCGGCTTTTCACCGATATGAATTCTGTTGTGCCTGTTTAAACTCGATAATTTACTGAAGCCTTTCCCGCATATCATACAATTCGGCTTTTTAGCGGTATGCGTCTTCTTATGAGTACTCAAATGCGATGATTGAGAGAAAGTTTCCGTCTGTTCTTTATTCATTTCATTAATTGATAAATCCTGCAATTGTAATCCTTCCTCACTCACTTTCCGCACCGATAAATCCAACGGCTCTGTTTGTACCGTTTGCGCTTCCTGAAAATATATGAAATTATCCATCTCATTTAACGTTGAATATTTGATATCTTTGAAATATTTAGGTGCTCAATTATTTTAAATCATTAATGAACTCACTGAAGTTTGAATGCTTAATTGGAAGAAAAAGGCGAGGAAGATGAAATGGATGAAATGCATATTGATTGATATGATTTCTTGCCGATTCTAAAAAAATATTCAAATTTACCGAAACATTATGAAATGGTTGCTTATAAGAAACCACACTGCTCGCGCTTTGATAAATTACTTTAATGAAATTTTTTTCTAAACAATGCATTTCGAAATATATTAGCATCGAAACGCAATAGTCACACATCCATTGCTAATGCAACCAAGACTATATTCATTCAAATTATAAGCAAGACAACTTCTTCCCGGTGGAGAACGGTCGCGGTGGTTTCAAAGGTTAATTTTGCAGAAAGACAATTCTGATTTCAAAAAAGAGTGCCTATATATGGCTTTATTGTGATGTCGTAAAATCTTCCACATAACGCGAAAATTTGGAAAGAGGCTGACACTTTTGTTGAAAGAAATGAAATAGAGTTCATTGAATGAAATTTGTTGAAGGATAGAGATCGCCAAAAAGGAATTAGAAACTGTCAAAAGATCGTGTCTGCAAATGCTTTAAAGGTGAGAATGACAACATACTAATCCATGTTTAACAAGTGAATAAGAGCAGCTGATGTTTAATCTATCATGTAAATAATTTTATTTCAACTATTTTATTGAATTGTTACAAATAATTTATGCATGACATTGGCAGCATTTTTTGCACAATTTCATTTCATTTGATTTCAGTTTTTCCATACTTTCTAAATTGGGGTGGTATTAGTGAGAGGGAAAAAGCTTGTAATATATATTATTAATTTGAGTATAGTTCTGAGAAATATACTATTGATTCTCACCTGAAAAGGAATTTTCATCAAATGGAAAATTTAAACGAATAATATACTCTTGTTCAAATTTGATTAACAAAAAAGTTAGGATCAAAACATTTGCTCCGTTAAAAGTAATAGTAAAGTGCCTGTTGGATGCGCCAATACTATTAATTGTACAACACATTACATGTAGAATTCTATTCAGTTCAGTGATATGATATCAGATAAATCAGTACCACATTTATGTTTAATTTAGTTCATACTAAAATTTATGCGATTGCCAATATTTAAATACAATTGCTTAACTGACTGTAATTGTGGTAATAAATGACTGCCATCATGAGGCCAAGTAGGATTTGTTGCAGAACTTATTGCAACTTTGACTTGGCACAATTTTAAATATGTCGTTGCTTGAAACTACGAATTTATTCAATATCAAAATATTTCAGTATTCTGCAAGATGTCCATTTTTTTACAACAATAAGTAAATTAGAAGTTTGACTCCAATCATTTCGGATATGTAACAAATCTGTTTGCAAAAATATACCTCTTCTTTAAAACAATTTTTAACGATGTTTGAAAATAAATTTTAAGTGTTTGAATGACGTAGTTGACAGTGTAAAATTTTCATAAATGGAAAACTAAGTCTGTACGGGGTGTACGGTATGTGATAGAAACTAAGTCTATACGGGTATACGGTAAGTGATTTCGTCGACGTCCGTTAATCCAATATTTTATGCAAAATAATTTGTGCATTGTTTATAGAAATTTTTGGTTTTAAATATTTGTAAAATTAATTAATTGAAATTTGCAAATATATTGGCTTATTAATTTTTTATAACATAAATAAAATTACTGCGAGTCATTGCAAAGGTAATTTGATCATTCATCTTTTTTCATCATCTATTATTACACGTTGTATGAACAATGTACAGGTGAGATATAACAATAACAGTAAAAATGAAAAGAATATAATAAGTATGAATGAATAATTAAATTGCAAAATTTCAATTAACAAAAATAATTTGCAGCGAGTATTTCAGTTTAAAATATGCCTAGCACTTTCTGTTTTCAGTATGAACTTTCCTTTTCTTTGAAAGGAGTTTCATAGCGCTATGAGTTTGCATGTGGCTTTTCAAATATTGCTTTGGTAGAAAGGTTTCTCGCATATCGTACAATGGTGTGAAGTGTATCGTACAAACAGTGTGAATTGTGGAGTCTATGAGAAGTCTCCGTCTCAACATTGGATTTTTCACTTTTATTAACCTTGGCTACTCATATGTATAAAATAATATAAATGCATAAATCATAATTTACCTATAAATCTTTATTAACCTAAACATAAAATTTCAATTACTTTACTTTTATGTTGCAAAACTTCTGAACGAAACCTTTTTTCTTAATGAAATTTAAATAAGAGTGCATTTAATGGCAAGCATATTATTAGTTCTAATTCCATATTTGATGAAAAGTTTTCAAGGTAAAGAATCATTAGTAAACTTTTCCATATATTAAATAACACACATTCTTATATTAAATATTCTTATATTATATATTCATTACACATTCTTCTATTAAATAAGAGTGTATGTAATGAATATTATCAGTTCTAAATTCCCATGATATATATCATAAGATTTTTCTCTCTCACCAACATTATCTCAATTTTGAATGCATGGAAAAGCTGAAATGAAATGAAATGAAATTCTGGATGTAATTAAGTCAGTGTTTTGCATAAATCATTTGTCACAATTCCATACAATAGTTGAAATGAAATTATTCATATGACAAATTAAACATCAATTGTTATTACATTTTTAAACATGGATTATTAACACAGCTCACCTTTAAAGCATTTGGAGGTACGATCTTTTGACAGTTTCTAATAAAAGTTATTTGGCGATCTCTGTCTTGCCACAAACTTCATTCAATAAACACAATTTCATTTATTTCAACAAAAATGTCAGCCTTTTTCCAAAATTTCGCGTTATGTGGAAGATATTAAGAGATCACAATAACACTATAAATAAGCATCCTTTTTTGAAATCAGAATTATCTTTCTGCAAAATTTACCTTTCAAACCGCCGCGATTGATCTCCACGGGGAAGAAATTGTTTTGCTTATAATTTGAATGAGTAATGCCTTTAATGTATTAGCAATGAACGCGTGACCGCTTCATTTCCGATGCTAAGATATTTCGAAATGCATTGTTTGGAAAAAATTTCTTTAAAGCAATTTGCCAAGGAGCGAGCGATGTGATTTCTTAGAAGCAACCATTCTAATGTATTGGTAATTTGAATATTTTCCAGAATCGATAAGAAATCATATCAATCAATATGCATTTTATCTATTTCATCTTCCTTTCTTCTTTCTTCCAATTAAACATTCAAACTTCAGTGAGTTCATTAAAGATTTAAAAAAAATAAAACACTTCAATATTTCAAAGACATCAAATATTCAAAGTTAAATGAGATGGATAATTTCATATAATTTCAGGAAGCACAAACGATACAAACAGAGCCGTTGGATTTATCGGTGCGGAAAGTGGATGAGGAACGAATACAATTACAGAATTTATCAATCGATGAAACGAATAAAGGTCAGACGGAATGTTTCCCTCAATCATCACAATTGAGCGTTCATGGGAAGACGCATACCGGTAAAAAACCACATAGTTGTACGGTATGCGGAAAAAATTTCGTTAAATCATGGAATATGATCGTACATAATAGAACTCATACCGGTGAAAAGCCGTATAGTTGCACAATATGCAATCAAAGCTTCTCTCAGTCATCGAATTTGAATGTGCATAGGAGGACGCATACCGGTGAAAAGCCGTACAGCTGTACGATATGCAATCAAAGTTTCTCTCAATCATCGGATTTGGGCAGACATAACAAAATTCATACCGGTGAAAAGCAGTACAATTGTACGGTATGCGGGAAAAGTTTCGTTAAATCATCGGATTTAAGAAGACATAATAGAACTCATACGGGTGAAAAACCGTACAATTGTAGGATATGCAGTCAAAATTTCTCTCAGTTATCGCATTTGGGAGGTCATGTTAAAATACATAAGGGCGAAAAGCCACATCGTTGTTCGATATGCAGGAAGCCTTTCGATCGAAATGATAGTTTGAAAAGGCACATGAAAACTCATAACAATATGCTTTTTAATTGAATTCTATGCAACCAAAGTTTCCTAAAGCAATTCCTTTTGAAATCATCCGACGAAAGTTTATACTGAAAAAAGAAACAGCTAGGCGAATTTTTCCTGTATTTCTTTAATTACAATCTTGCAATTTAATTATTCAACAATACTATTTTTTTTCATATTTTGCTGCCATTATTATTTCTCACCTGTATATTATTCATTTTGTACCTGACAGTTAATTAGTATTATTTTATTGCTATCCGTTTATTCTTTATTTCATTGCAATGAATAAAATTCTCTGTATTACAGCTCTACACTTAATATCTTGTACAATTATTAGTATGTGTGCCTCCTATGGGCACTTTATTATTCCATTATCACACAAGCTATTACCATGACAGTCGTAATATTTAACAATAATAATAATATTTGATTATAGTAACAGTAACAATAATGGTTATTGTAATAATAGCAATAGTAATAATAATAATAATAATTTGTGTCAACTAGCACAAAATTTTAAAATTTGAATGCTTAAATTTGGTTCACAAATGTCCCTTTCTAAAATTATTCATTAAAAAGGTTCAATATGATCAAAATTGTTGGAACTATAACTAACTATTAGTTAAAATTTATTGATTAATTTAATTAAGATACGAATTGAAGATGATATCTGGTCGCATGGTAATAAATGCATGAGCAATGCACCGTATTGGGATCATGGTAAGAATCTATGGTAATGAACGCATGAGCAATGTACCGTATTGGAATCATGGTTAGAAATCATGGTAATGAACGCGGTCAAATGCTAAAGGAGAAAATGATGAAATGTTAGAAAAACGACAAACAGAAGAGTTTGAAAGGTAATTCTTATCAACTATCAGTCGTGTTTCTTTAAATTATATTGCATTTTGAATTTTAACAAAATTTGAATCGTTTTACTTTTACACCGCAAAAGTTTTACCAAAATCATTTTTTGTTGTTGAAATTTAATAAGAGTGTGTGGTGTAATGGCATATTATTAGTTCAAATTTCCCATTTGATGAAAAGTTCTTCTCAGGTGACAATCAATAATGTATTTTTCAGAACTATACTCAAATTTATAATATATATTACAAGCTTTTTCCCTCTCACTAATACCATCCCAATTTAGAAAGTATGGAAAAACTGAAATCAAATGAAATGAAATTGCGCAAAAAACGATGCCAGTGCTTTGCATAAATTATTTGTCACAGTTCAATGCAATAGTCGCAATAAAATTATTGATATGATAGATTAAACATCAATTGCTGTTATTATATTGTTAAACATAAATTATTAATACACGTTGTTCGTCAATCTCACCGTTATAAGCATTTACAGATATGATCTTTTGGCAGTTTCTAACAAAAGCTTCTTGGCGATCGTTGCCCTTCCACAAATTTCATTCAGTAAACGCTATTTCATTTATTTCAACAAAAATGTCAGCCTCTTCCCAAAAATTCGCGTTATGTGGAAGATTTTAAAAATCTCAATAAAATTATAAATAAGCAGCATTTTTGGGAATCAGAATTATCTTTCTATGAAGTTTATCCTTAAAACATCCGCGGACAATTCCCAACGGAAGAAGTTGTTATGCTTACATGAATGAATTAAGCCTTTATTGTACTGGCAATGAATGCGTGACTGTTGCGTTTTCGATACTAACATATTTCGAAATGCATTGTTTTTAAGAAATTCCTTTTTTTAAGATAATTTATCAAAGAGCGAGAGGTGTGATTTCTTATAAGCAACCATTCCATAATGATTGTTAAATTTGAATACTTTTCAGAATCGGCAAGAAATCATATCAATCAATATGCATTTCATCCATTTCACCTTTCTCGCCTTTTTCTTCCAATTACACATCCAAATTTCAGTGGGTTCACTAAAGATTTAAAAAATATTCAAAGTTAAATGAGGTGGGTAATTTCATATAATTTCAGGAAGCACAAACGGTACAAACAGAGCCGTTGGATTTATCAGTGCGGAAAGTGAGTGAGGAACGAATGCAATTACAGAATTTATCAATTAGTGAAACGAATAAAGGACAAATGGAAAGTCTCCCTCAATCATCGTATTTGAATGCTATTAGGAGGACGCATACTGGTAAAAAGCCGGACCGTTGCACGATATGCGGGAAAAATTTCTCTCATTCATATTTCATAAGACATGAGAGGATTCATGCCGGTGAAAAGCCGTACAGCTGTTCGATATGCAATCAAAGTTTCTCTAAATTTACGAATTTGAAAAGACATATTAGGATTCATACCGGTGAAAAACCGCATATTTGTACAATATGCAATCAAAGCTTCTCTCAATTAACGAACTTGAAAAGACATATTAGGATTCATAGGGGTGAAAAGCCATACAGCTGTTCGATATGCAACCAAAGTTTCTCTGATTCATACAATATGAGACAGCATGAGATAACTCATACCAATGAAAAGCCCTACAGTTGCCCGATATGTAATCAAAGTTTTTCTCAGTTACCGTATTTGAAGAAACATATGAAGATTTGTACCGGTAAAAAGTGGTACAATTGTCCGATATGCGAGAAACGTTTCTATCGAAGTGATAAATTTAAAGAGCACATGCAAACTCATAGTAATAATTAGATCTCTTTCAATTGGATTGTATGCAACGAAAGTTTCCAAAAGCAATTCATTTTGAAATTACAATGGAAGAATTAAATTCTTGTGAATAGGAAAACTTTCATCATTTTATGTATTCATTTATCGTTTTCCGATTCGGATAAAATTCATATTGTTTGTTTTCATTCTTCCGCCGAATTTTATCATTTCCTTTTTTCATTCATATTTTTA